GGAAGCAATGTTAAATTTTCAATCTGTTCAATGCTCACACAGATGCTTAATTCAGTGAAAATTGTTGGGCACTGTATTCACTGATCGCTCAATCTCACCATCAGTGTTATTCCTTTTGAAACTCTAGAAGAGTTTAATTGAAATGAAAAACACACAAAAATGACTACTGTATTCGTTTCACCAGCAATTAAGTGTTAAAGAATATCGCAACTGAATTGGTGGTATTGAGAATGAAATGCTGAAGTTGTCGCCCGGTTGATAATCAGTGAAATGCAATTGTGAATGAACAAGCAGGTGTTACGCAAATCGGAGACAACAAGAATTGTTGAGCGATTTCTCAAGAGCAAGCGCTTCGTTGATACATTACACAATCGCATTATCCAATACAAGCACAATATTAAGTTACCTATTTTAAAATCACGTTGATATAAATAAACACGTTGATATATAAATAACACATTGATATATCACACTCTGTTCATGTTGATAATATCCGTTGCATTATTATGCAGCGTTGTTTATATAAAAATAACCTATGTAAGATGCACGACAGGATGCCTCCTACTCAAAACGCAAAACTCAATTTAAATCAGTAAATTAAGCGAACCAAATGTTTATGTTAATTTGGGAAACATATTCAGATACTTTAGCTTCAGATATCAAAAGAAAATGAAGAGTTATCGTTTCCTTACTGTTTCGATTCGCTTTCATGTTCGTGGTCAGTTATGTCATGAGCTATTCGAATCTCGAATGCAAGTTTCGAATAACACAGTGAACAATGAACAGATAATTTGTTATTGTCAGAGAGGTTATTTCTTTGTTCTGTTCTGCAGCTGAAAGACTCAATTCGTGGTGCACTTTCAGTGGATTCGAAGATGCATTTGTTCCGTTTTCTGAACTCGTAAATGCAACAACCGGACACTTCCATCAGTGAACACACATTCAGTAAGAAATCATGACGGGTTGCGGTTAGATCACATTTTCAACGTTCAAATGCTGATGATTACTGCATGAAATGGCAATATTCTTTCTCTCATTTCGGTGAGATCATTTGATGTGGTTTCTTACTCACAATCATTTTTCTATTTATGGTCGTGACATTGCTCATGATGTCAAACGTTTTTTTTGTTGATGCAGTAACGACAGCACATTAACTGATAAAATATCATGAACGTCAACTCAAAATCGTCCACCTTTCATTGATAAATACTCATAATCTCTAACAAGTTGAAAAATATTCTTAGTCATTGTCAGCAATAAAAAATTGCTCATTATTATGCATACAAGAGTGCAAAAGGTATGCGAAACAAAATAAATATTTGCTAGTCGTCACGTTCTTCTTCTTTATTTGTTTGATATGGGTGCGTCTCATCTTATTTACGCATAAAACTCGCAAGATTTTGGCGTTATCAAGCATTGCAACTATCCTATAGACTCTCTGCTTGTTGTTTATATTTGTAAGCACGAAGCTAATCGAATTGGATACAAACATGTTCAAAATAATCACTTTCTTGATGTGAACATAACTGTTTGTTCATAGTGTTTTCATCATCAAAAGCGATTAGCAGATTACAATTTGAACTTTAAATGCTGTACTTCGATGCGATAATTTGGAAATAAATGTGTAGTGATTAATTTCAGATCAATGG